GAGGGAAAGGGAGGGAAAATGAATTATTTCCTTTCATTCCTTTTTATTCCCTCTTCTCTTTCTTTTTCTTTTTTTTTTTTTAATTTAAATAAATTACTGAATTAACAAAAATAAAGAAAAGTAAAATTTTCTTCTCTCCATTCATTTAATTTTTTTGATGATTAAATAAATAATTTTTTTATTCTCTACTCCTCTCTTTACCATTCCCTTTAAATCAAATATATTGTAAGTTAAAATTAGAAGAGTCCTCAAATTGTAAGGTAGATTTTTTGAAATTAAATAAAAATATTGAATTTCACACTTCGAATTAAGTGGTTTAACACTTAATGAAAATCATCCCCTGGTGAGGTTGGGAGTTCGAGGCCCAAGGTTGTGAGATTCCCCTTACTATAACATATACTAAAAATGCATTGTACTAATTATCACTTTCAACAAAAAAAAAAATAATAAATAAAAATATTATAATTACACTACCAAATATTATCAGAGAAAAATGTATATTAATTTGACTTTCAAAATAAATTAGAATCATAATATTAAACATTTAAACTAAATTATTTTATTTAATTAAAACTTAATTTAAAATTTTAAAATTTATTTTAAATTTAAAAATTAATTATATTAAAATATATAATTGATTTCTAAATATAAGTATCAACGTTTAATATGATAGATTTTTAAATTTTTAATTAAAATTTTAATTTTTAAATGTAAGTTAAAATTTTAATTTTAAAAAAAAATCAAAATTAATATACATTAATCTCATATTATAATTATAATATCATATAATACTATAAATATATAAAATAATATATTATTATATAATTAATTTAATTTATTTAAAAATTTATGTATAATATTATATATTTATTTTGTATTATATTATATATTATAATTATACATTTATAATTTTAAGTATCTGGATAATAGAAGTATTATGGGAAATTAAAATTTAGTGGTTGTTGACCACGTCAACCTTGTCACATAGATACATGGTACACCATCAGATTCTGTAAGCCATTAATGGGCGCATTCTCCACCGAGACGTCAACTTGTCGCCAATAAGGCAAGCGTATTCTTTGGCAGGACAGTTACACAATCTTTGTTTCCCAACTATGCTAATAATATTTTTTACATATATCTATAACGGGAAAGTGGGTATCAGCCCTACCTCCCAAAAAAAAGTTGGAGTCCCAAACTAAACGACGTCGTTTTCATCTAAAAAACACAGCCCTGCTAAAAAATCCAGCCTCTGCTCCTCAATCATCTCTCAAAAATCCAGCCCCTGCTCCTCAATCATCTCCATCTCCTT